GGTAAGTTTTACCTGTCCCTTTTATCTGGAAAGGATTAAGATCTGAAAAAGGATATTTAGAGTCATCCCTACTACTCTGACTGTATGGAACCACATTGAGGTTCATTCTTGCACTGTCGACCGTAAGATTGATCCCACGACTCCCTTTATAAAGTGAAGCTCCAATTGCAGTTGAAGGAAGATGATCTAACTGATTAGGGGACATTTTGTTAGATATTATGGAAGTGCCAACAGCAGAGTCACCACTTGGAGCTGAGAATGAAGACAAGTATTCTGTGTTTTTTGAACTTCATCCCCTATCCGAGGGAAAACTGCCATTAATTGCAGAACTTTGGCTACTGCCTTCAACATTTAATTTGGCTCTCAGGTAAACAACTTCAACATCATCAGAAGACTGAATAGTCAGGATTTTGCTTAGTGATGGATGGATTATATGACTTCAAAGCAGTATCCTTTGCACTGAAAATATCAGCAGGTAGAAGTGTCCCAGGAGCTGCCATGAGATCAACCAAAAACTCCCTGAAGGCAATGAAACAAAACATCAGAACTGAAGAGGTCAGAGATTGATTAAAAAGTGAGCACAAACTACTACCTTTCATCCTCTAGCTTTACAATGTTTACAGCATCATCCTCAACACCAGTGTAATGACTACCTTTTACAAGTCTACAAGTTAACTTTATATTATCAGCCAATACCTAAATACCAGGGCACCAAGAAAATAAATATACAGCTGTTGGATAAATAGAAAGCTTAGCCTACATTTTGATCTAATATTTATTAGCTCAAAGAAAGAGGCATGAAATTTTATTTTTCAGAAAGTTTTTAGTAGCATCTTTTAAATGTAAAGAATAACAGTGTTAAAGAAGCAAACTTAATTTTAACAACCAATATCTGATGAAATGGAAACTAAGCCTTTCAAATTGTTGCTATACAATGGATTACACCTCAGTAATCAAAACAATCAACAAAAAGTTCAAATCATGAGGTTTTAGAAGGACAGATGTGGAGAAAGTGAGAAAGGGCATAACTTCTACCAATAATATATCTCAAAAAATTCCTTCCTTTCATTTCTAATATTTCTCATTCCAAAAAAGAAATAGTTCTTCTTTGATAATATTAAAATCTGCTCCGAAGCTCCATCAACCAATGTGATCACGGATTCTCATAATACTTAAATCTTACCAAAAAAAGGAAGAAGAAGGATCTTCCTCAAGATACAAACATGACTCTCAAAAAGTAGACAGAGCCATATCTTCCCCTTTTCATGTTATATGAACTCACATTTAATAAGAGGTGTAGAAATAGTAAATATATTAAAGTAACAGAAAGTTGGCCAGTGGAGACTAGCACTACAAGTTTAAGTTTCATAACTAACCTCGAAAGTCAACAAAAAACAAAATAACTAACCTTGAAAAGTAAAGCATGATGCCAAGATAATCCTATATTAATGGACCCAATAGCCAACAAACTTGTATGAAGAGATGTTCTCAATTCCGTGCTCCTTTCCATCCACTTTGCCAACATTATATTAGCATCCTTAACAGGTGCACCGATATGGCCTATTGGCCTGTAACAAATTCGGCAAGCTTTTGGACTAAAACACTAACATTACTAGCAGAGCAATCTAATGCAATACAATGTGCAATTTGCACCAGCTCTTCTAAGACAGGGTCAATTGTTCGATTGACAATAACAACTTCAAAGCCATAATTCCCAAGATTTGTCTCAAGATCTGCAAGAGATGGTACATTTCCTTGGAGTGCTGAATTTGTGGAAGGCCCATACACATCATAGAAACCATCAACCACTTTCTCTTCGTGATCAAGCACACTGTACTCCTGGTGCATTAAAACACCTAACAGAAGTCAAGCCAAATATTATAACTACAGAAACAGTACAGCATAGCAATATATGTAAACAAATTACAGTTAAGCATTAATATGAAGAAACAATGTATAAGAAACTTTCAAATCTCAATATACCTGAAAGACATTCTGGCATGGAGAATATATATTTTTAACTGGCAAAAAAATCAGATATTTGATTGCATTCATAAATAGAAAATTTTCTACATGTTAAATTGTTTAAGTGAACTCAATTTGGCAATGACTGCTTTTTTAGTCAATATTATCACTTCAACATAACTTAAACCACATAAACAAAATTTTCAGATTTTAAATCCCATTTCTATCACAAAATTGACTACTTACCTGATTGAATAAAGCCTCACAAAGTAGAAAACAAAAGAACAGTACACAGGAGATACTCCTTCCCCAAATTAATCAAGGATCAGGAATTCAAGGTATGTAATCAAGAAAAGTAACCATTCCAACTCAGCTACTAAAATTGAAAATGCAGGACTCAAATAATTAAGATGATCATAGTTTTGTTAACCATAAATTATGCAAGTCCAAAATGGTAGCAATGAAATTTGTTGGCCAGCAATATATAATCTAAAACTAGATACGAAATACATTTGAGTTGTTAAGAACAAAACTCCAGGCTTCAACCACCAAAACACAATTACTAATCCTTAGTTCAACCTCATCCACTACAATTTCATAGCATGAAAGACTCCATGATGCTGCAATTCATCATTTTTACCTAATCTGAGGGTATATTGCATTAACGCTAACAATCCAAAACCAACCAGCAGCAACTGCTAACACTGATAAGCAATCCAAACCTAATTCATGCCCATTTAATGCTATTGAATCCAATTAAAATTAATGCTTCAGCATTAAGTGTTCCAAAACATTAATTGCCGTCATCCAAAAATGGATCAGAAGAGCAAGGATTAAGTACCATAACCCAAGTAATCACTTCCTTAAATCATAGCCCTTTTCTCCAACTCATGGTCTCTCCACTAGATTAACTCACAAAAAAGGCAAGATGCTAGAATACTCAAGATCACAGTTTTCTTCACCTATATATATATATATATCTGAATGGCCATACTTAACACAATTCCATGGTGACTTGCTCTAATTACCAGAAATTCAAAATTGCTTATAGGCACAGACCAAAAGCCCCTACTTTAAGTAAGCTTATTAACTACAATCCATCCACCAGCACCAACACTACAAGACCCATTCCAACTTGAATCCACCAGAATCCAATTCGACCTCAAAATGGGTAAGGAGAAAGTTGACGAACACTCACCCAATAACGTCTCGATAAATCCTCTGCGGAGCACCTCCTCCCTATCCCTGCCTGTATCCATCTGATGATGGCCGCCCAAGCTCAGCAGAGTCGCCGCGCGGATCTGATCCTCCGAATTCGACGCGCTGATCGCTAGAGCTAGCTGAACCTGGAACTCCTCCTCCGATAACATGTAATCGGTACCATTACTTGCCGACACAGTCCACGCTGCTGTAGCGTTCCCGGCGCTCGGCGGAACAGTAGCCGGGGCAGGTGATGACGTGGAGGGACTCGTCGGAGAGTTTCCGGACATGTTACGTTGATGATCGGTGGCTCATGAGGGAGACGGCGGCGGCGGCGTCTCGTTGGTCCGATTAGGCTCGTGATTATGGCCTTTGTGTAGCTTCTTGAAAATGTGCT